AAAAAAATATATATTTTTTTAAATCGCAAAATAATTATAGGGTGGCTAATGCCAAAGAAAGGATGACTGAAGCCACCCTTAAATAGGTCTAACGACGCTTATGCTAATAGCTCTGATCAACAGATCTTTCCCGTCGTTGATATCTACAGTTCCTCCAGATTGGCCATGGTCCTCTTGGCTCAGTCTTTGATTAACAGTCTCCCTGCCAATGTAAATGGACATGCATGTCCTGGTAGTTCTGCAGGTCTCCCTGTTCTTCCTTCATGTTTAAATGATGGACTGAACAGATCTCTGTGAGTTTCTCAAAGCTTGGGATATTGTTTTAAAACCTAACACTACTTAAAACTGACCCAGAGTGTTCTCAAGACATGTATGTTGGTTTGATAAAAGTAGGCTAAATACAATTATAATTGTTGGCTTTCAGGAACATGAGATTAAAGATGGACTATTTAAAGATGTGCCCTGTAAACAATGACACTCAGGAGCACCTGCAGTGTAACCATACCGTGTCTGCAAGGGGTTTCAGAGAGTGGTCTAAGGAAGGGAACAGAAGAGAGTATAATGATATAATGTATGCCTACTGAACACTGCCTCCAGTTTTACAACATTGGGCACATTTTTTTGACTCACAGACATTTTTAGCCATGCTGGGCCATATGGCAGTGGTAAAAATAATGTCAAACAACCAATGGGGAGTTTGGTTTTTTTTTGTGAATAATTTATCTCCGGAACATGGAGAACAAAACTTAATGTTTTACAAATAAATATGATGCTACACCAGCTTTTCAGAATTTGACCATGGTTATTGTAAATGTACCACCCTCACACTATTTCATATATTCTTTTCATTTCAATGGCATAGAAAGAAACACATTGCAATAGGAAAATAAGCCCCCTCCATCACTTTAATATATATTTCGGGCTAGCTCAAACAGTAATTATTATATATATATATATATATATATATATATATATATATATATATATATATATATCAAGTTTATATATTTTTTTAATATGTCTAATATACACCAGGATGAGCAACCATAGCTTTGTGTAAAATGAGTTAGTGAAAAAAGATACTTCTTTTAATTTATCGAGGTCATATGTATTTTTTATGTGTTGTTCCCCCCATATGTAAAAATATGTATGT